GTGACCACCATGTCTTTGTCACCAGGTGAGTTTGAACTCCGGCTCAGCCGAATGCTCATCCAATATTGGGGGGGTAATGGCAACTGGGACAGTATTTTTTCCATACTGTATAGTAGAATTTTGCCAGTCAGTGTGGCTGGGGTTAGTAGCGCATCTAGGCACACTTTCCTTTATCCCAAACCATGTGGAGTCAAGCAGTTGGGTTCTATGCTGTCCCATAGATATTCCATATGTTTGTCCCTCTAGCCCAGGGGTAGCAAACCTCCGGCCCTCCAGCTGTGGTGGATCTACAAATCCCATGAGGCATTGCAAGATTCTCAGCCACAGACATGACTCTCTAAGAGATGCATCATGGGATCTGTAGTTTCACCCACAGCTGGAGGGCCGGAGGTTTGCTACCCCTGCTGTAGCCTGTAATGTGATGTGTTTTTTATTTTTTTCTTGTTGTGCAACATTTGGCAATCCCCGGCACTTCCTCCTTGGTTCCCGTTTTCATTCTGACCACACCAAACATGGAAGCAGATGTATGCTGGCGTGGTTGGTTTGGTTGGGCAGGTTATTGCCTCTAGGGGTTATCAGGTGCTGCACGGCATGTCTGTAGTTTGGCTTTGCTGCCATGCCCCCAGCCCCCCTTCTCCATCTAGCTCTGTTGATTGACATCAGATTACATATGGAGGTATGTGGTGATGGTGATATAAAGACTCTGCCCCCACCCAGGGGCATCCCTACACTTTTTTTCCTCCTGAGGCCAAGGATTGGGGGGTGAGGGGTTGGTGGTGGTGCTCCTCCCTCAATACAGACATATGATCACTTTTAAAGTATATGTACTGTATTATGGTTTTAGATGGGAGTAGCAATGGGGTAAAACATTGGACATTTAGCTTTCTGTGCCCCCTTTGGGGAAAGTTTCCTTCACTTGCTGACCTGAAGACACAACAGGAAATGAGGGAGATTTCTAAAAGTGAGGGGATTGCCCTCTTGGACAGCTGGCACTGGATCACATGTCCCCGAGTGGAAGGCTTCCCTTCTATTCCTTTACAATTCAACTACAGGCATTCCATGACCTCTCTCTTGCTGAATCATGGTTGAGAAAAGTGTGGTCAGACGCCTGGCTTTGCTGCCTAGCAGTGGTGCCTAAATCATGAGACTGGCTGAGCTCAGTTGGAATCCTTTTGGCAGGTGAGAGGGTTCACCCATGAGTCTTTTGTGAAGTTGGCTGTTACCATTCAGTGCTTAAGGTGGAAGGTTTTAGGCAATTGGGCCCTTTGAATAAAATATGGAAGACTGACCCAGGTCAAGAATACAAAGGCCTGGTATAAATCTCGGGGTGTTTGCAGAGAATGGAATGTGCAGCAGACTAATGGTTTTCCAGAATGCCGGCAATCATTTGTGGCCTGATAACTACAACCAGCAATTTGATGTCACATGACCATTAGCAATTGTCACATGACATCAGAGGACATGTGATGTGCTTTGGTTTTTGCTGCACTGGCAAGTTTGTCCTGCGGTCTACCCATGACTAAGATTGCATTGCATGTGAACCCTCTGTGCCAAGGGTACTTCCTATAAATGAGGATAAGATCATCATCATGTTTATGCCGTGTGAGCTGTAGCTGGAAAACGTCTGCGATTTATAGTTTTGTGTTAAGGCGCGGCATGACACGGCACTCAATCTCTGCAAAATATGCAGTTTCCAATGTTTTACTCTTAAAGACCAGCAAGTACACTGAAGTACCTCAATCTGCCCGAAATCTCCTCTACCCATAACTAGTTGTTGTGGGCTGACAAGTGCCCCTTTCTGGACTGAAATTGTAGGCACTGGTGTCAGTTCTGCCCAGTTGCCTTTTGCCAGACCAAAAGGGAGCCAAAGTTTATTGTTGGGGCTTTACATACCCACTAACCATCTAAGACCTGTGCTGTGCAATAAATGTATTGGGGAAGATAGTACAGAGTTTAAAAGGCTCCCAGGAGCTGTTGCCTTCAGTTCTCGTTTCCACTTCCTTTTTGCTAGTGGGTCAACCGCAGAGGTCAGTCTCCCAACCCCACCCTTGTCAGGTGGAGGCTACAGACTGTGGGCAGCAGGGAAAATTGGCAGAAGGGTGTTTGGTATGGGTCTCTGCCTGCACCCCATTTCCCTTCTTTTTTTTTTTTTTAGGACTTTTTTTTTTTTTCTACGCATGGCTAGCTCAAACCTTCTCCACATATCTTGGTAGCCAGAGATGGTGATGGGTCCAGGGTTTGGTGAGGATACCATGATTTTAGCCAGATGTGGCCTTTGGCTCGCTTGGCAAACTGCAGATGGGCAGCATGTGTTTTGCTGGCTCGTGGGCAGTGCGTGGTTGGCCGGCCTCTTGGCTCCACTGACACTGCATAGTGTGCAGCTCTGTGCATTCTGTTTAGACATTTTGTAATGGCCTTTGCCTTCTGTGTAGATTGTTTTGCATTGCAGGATTATTAATTCTTCATGTGAGGGACGGCTTCCAACAGCAACTGGAACTCGCCCAGACATGTAAATACACCAATCAAAAACATATTTGTCTTGGCTGATTGGACTTTATTTCTTAAATTATTGCATGTACCCTTAGCACAGCTGGATGGATTACAGCCTCCATAGTAGAATGTAATGGTGCTTTCCAGACAGCCAACTCTGTGCGCCATCCCACCTACTGTATGCTGCTCTCCCTCACCTCTCCATTAAATAAAGCCCCTTGTGCCCATCTACTTGGAGCAGGCTGCTTCCACTACAAGCATGACTTCAACTTTCATTTGACTGCCCTGCTGATCCATAATTGTCTGACTTTTTGGAGGTCGGCAATTGCAGGTCACGCATTGCTTTCATGATGGGTGTCCGAAAGGAAGATGTGGGCCAGTGTTGGGTTCTGTTGTAGTCACAGCCACCCTTAACCCAACCAATGATTGCCTATCCTGCCCTCCCTTGATAAGGTTTGAGCCTGAATCATGAATATCAAATAAAGATCCATCTATCTAGTCCTATCTGTCATCAGACTAAAATAGTATGTGGTTCAAACCTGACAAACTCTTCCAAGACCTCTTGGAGTAACTTTAAGGGGGGGGGGGGCTGTGAAGATTTTACGACTGACCATCTGGTAGCATGTCAAAGTTTATCTCGTTTGTCCTTTCTCTAGTGTAACATCCCGTATTTGGCAATGTGTTCTGATTCCCAATGCTGTTGAAGCCTTCTTGATGTCTTTAACTGATGTTGACCAGTTGTGTGTTTTTTTTTGTTTTTTCCTGAATTGTACAAATACCTCTGTTATAGAAGATGCAAAGGGGGCACTCTCCTTGGAGTGTCTCTTACAATTGTGCTAATCAACATCCTCGTTATCCCACCATTAAGATACGTGGTCTTCTCCAAATTCCACAACACCTTCGCTCATCTGTTTCTCAAACCGTGATATCTGAGCACTAAGTACTATGATGTATGGTATTGGAACTTGGAGTGGTAACTGTTTCCTCCTCCAAGTGTTTTGGGTCTAGAAAATGGCTAATCGGGCCCGGGCACTGCATATGAGGAGGTCACATGCTTCTCAATACTTGGAAGGGTCAGGTATTTATCTGGGGCTTTGACAGGAATGCAAAGGTAGGGGGGTTCCAAGAAGATGGGCTCTGCTTAAGACATCCTGTCGCTTTGCCACATGTAGGCCCTAAACATCAGTTATCAGGAAGACATTTTGGCAGTATTGGAATAGCTTCACTTTGCTAAGCGCTTTTCATAGGTGAATATGGTCAGGTGACCGTACTGAGCGATGATTGCTCACCATTTGTGACCATTATGCTAGATCAGCGGTTCTCAATCTGTGGGTCACAACTCACTGTTGATGGGGGGTCGCAGCATCCACTTCTGCTGCCCTAGGTAAGGCTCCTCAGCCACCTAGCGCATCAGTGGCAGTCAGCGGGAGGACTGCAGAGGCTGTGAATATAAGTGCTATCCGCACTCCCTGTTCGCTGCAGCGACATCTAGTGGCCGGGGAGTGTGTACAGCGGGGCTTTTCTATTCACAGCCGCTGCTGTCCTCCTGCCTCCCATACAATGTGAGCTCTGCAGGAGGCGGGCGTCTAAGCTGTGCTGTGGCTGAGAAGGCTGCATGGAGACAGAGCAGGTAGCAGGGGCTGGTGAGGGCTTGTATTGAGTGCTTCTATTTTTAATCCCAAGTCCAGCACCTTACTAATTCTGGAGTCCAGCGCTCCGTTGGGGGTCATCACAACTTGGCAAATGTTACCAAGGGGTCCCGGCCCTAGAAAGGTTGTTCTAGATGCTCAGTGCAGAGCTGCAGTGCAGTATACTGACTGCGCCTGTTGGAAGGGGTGGGGGGGTGGGGGGGGGGTGGGGGGGTGGGGCAAATGTGGTGGTTCCACTCAAAGGTATGACCTGCAGGGGTGGGGTGTGATGGCAGGTTTGTGTTTATCAAGGTGAAATCTTGGCACTGATGGGTGCATTGCAAATGAAGACTAATGCCTGAACAGTGCTAATTTTTATTTACCTAGAGAAAATCTATATATTGCAATGGCATACGTTCATATGATGGTTCAAAAATATTTTAGCTCTGGGTGATGGACAAGGGTTGGAACCTGTTTTTGGTTTGTCAATCCCGGAGGTAATTTTGCTCCCTTCCTGTCCAGGTGAAACTCCATTTGTGTTCCTAGGTCACTGGGTTAGGAGGTGGCTTTCATACAGCATAGTTATGCCTATTAAACTATAGATCAGTTCAGTGCTCATGAATCTAATGGACCCTACAGGTCCACTGGTGTCCTTCAAGTGTCATGAAGGAAACAAGAGATTTCTTCAGGAAGACCCATGCTCCTGATGTCATGGTTGATTTAATGCTTTAGCTTGCTGTTGGAATAGAAGAGTCCTTGTTAATCTTTGAAGTGTTGGATATATCTTCTCTGACGCCACACAAATCCGCACTGTGTGGCTAGGTTTAGGTTGGACAACCTCAAATGTGCCTATTTCATCTTTAACACATTTTAATTTCTGCCTACAGGGGGATTCCAGGAACCATGTGGCTACGGGTGGCTCTTCTCTGCTTCTTGGCCTCTATGGCCAGCTCCCGCAATGTACCTTCTTTTGCTCCCCTGTCTAAGGAGATGGTCAACTACATCAACAAGCTGAACACCACGTGGCAGGTGAGTAGGGGGGTCAATGGTCTGGTCTGGTCAGAGTCCAGAATGGTACTGCAAAACCTGAATGATTGTTTATAAACCGGATTTACATGCTTAATATGGAAGCTGAAACCTAACTTGATGGCTGTAGGTTTGTATTACACCTACTGTGCAAAAAGCTGAAAGATGAGTGTTTCGTATTGTCTTGTATTAGGTCTATGATTGAGTTTTGTCATGTCCGGCTATTGTAGATGCCTTGTGCACGTGTCTGGTGTGTAGACGTCAAGGCGCGGTGTTTGCCTTGACATGCTCATGGGAACAGGGTAATGGTGTGGTTTGCCAAATTCAATTACAATGCATGGGGAACACACAAGCCAAATCTGTTTTTTACTGCAACATATTTGGGACGAGTTGGCATTTTGCAACACAAATCCACCAGGTCATATTTCGGTGACTTGAAGGAACTTTTCCGGGATTTTTGTTTTGAACTTTGGTGCTGTCATGTGATATTGTCATCACTACGGAGAGTCACTGGAATGGAAGAAGTATGTAGGTCAGGTGTTCAAACACTCCTAATGTTCAGCTATGTGATTTCACTGTGTAGTGGAGCAAGGGTAAGAGTGAACGTCCTGGAACATGAACCATAAACAAGACAGCAGAGACGGGCCACATTACTCTACACTTAATGGGTTCCAGCTTCTACCATGGTATCGTATCAGATATGCCGAGGTTTCTGCTTCACTATAGTGATGTCTGAGTGACACATTTGTATGTACATTCCTCCTCTCTGGTCAGAGTGCCTCACTTATCCCTGCTAGTCAGCTGCCACAATTACTCAGGGCTTCCTGGCTTTGCAAGAGTGATTACAGCCCAACCTAAAAAGAATCCAGCTTTCAGAAGTTTCCTGACACTAGACTGAATCATGATGGCTAAAGCCTTATACTACTTGGCTGCTAGCTTCAGCCAGTGAAATTATGAGGGTGGGAGGGCCTCCCAGTTGTGAACCCTACCTGGCTGCAGGTGAAACTATGTTACTGCTGGTGTTGAAACTCAATGCTCTTATGATTCGGCAAGCACTCTAAAGACCCCATTATAATAGCGACCTGACTGGTGTTGCTTATCCCTATTCAGAATGTTGTGCTAACACGACTGAATTTGATTTGCCAAGGGTTCAGCCAATTGTTTTAAAATTTAGCAAACCCAAGCTTTGGTGAATCACAATGAAATCTCGGGGGGGGGAGGGGGCAAATCCTGTTCATTCTAGGGCTAATGTGCAAACTACTGTCAAAGGCATGAGGTGCAAGACTCTCCCGTAGTGGCCATATACTAATGTGAAGAGGGTCTTAATGTGGCTTCGCAGGCAGCATTAAAAATGCACCAATCCTTTAACTATGTTTTTAGGGGATTTTCAGGTAGCTTTAGCAATAAGGCATGGTTTTTTTTTTTTCTTTTTTTCCCCATCAAGCAGTAAAGGCCCACTTTTTCCAGAACATGAAAATTGCCCAGTAGTTTTCTTAGACTGTCCCAGTTGCTGATTCAAAAATTTGTCCTGTGGCTTGCCAAGTTCCATCCATCAAACCCTTTAAGAATATATTGCAGAGGATACAGCAGTTTAAAACTGGCCAGCAACAGGACAGTTTTAATCCAGGGATAATGGGCCCAACTGGTGTATGCCTAACTTTATATATTGCCACACGGATCTTCCATCAAGTGAACTTGCTGGGCATTTAGCAGTTTAAATGGGGATAGGGTAGCCCTGAATGGCCTGATTACCCAAGTGCTGTATCTGATCTTAAATCCAGGATGGGATTGGGACAGTTTGACCATCCTCT